ACGTAGGCCCCCGAAAGTTCGTACTAGCATCCCTAGCTCGAATATAAAATTTGTACTTCATCTATACTCCCCTCGTACTCCTTTCGTACTCTCCTCGTACTCCCACGTACTCCCCTCGTACTCCCACGTACTCCCCTCGTACTCCCACGTACTCCCATCGTACTCCCTTGTACTTCCCACGTACTCCCCTTGTACTCCATTGTACTCCCCTCGTACTCCCTCGTACTCCCTCGTACTCCCTTGTACTCCCCTCGTACTCCCACGTACTCCCCTTGTACTCCCTTGTACTCCCCTCGTACTTCAAAAAAGTATGAAGTAGATGAAGTCTCGCTTTTTCCCCCTTGTATCGAATTCAAATACACGAAGATTTCTGTTCGCTTTATTATCGAACCATTACATATCACTGTTCAATCAAATTAACAGTAGTAACCTTATAAAAAAATACTAAAACTCACCAAATCAAAACTTACATTTTTCTTGTGTTGTTTTTTCTTACGAAAAATACATCGAAACTTTTCGGAAAATTAAAAATTGATTAAACCGCGAATATTAATTCTATACACTGTCTACAGACTAATTCTGAACAGCATTTTTAGTTTATTGCGCACAATTTCTTAAATAATATCTAAAATCTCATACAAGTGAATATCATGTCAATACTTCGACAAAAGAAACCTTATCCTTCACCATTTAAACTGGGTATATCGTGTTTCACATTTTTAATCCCGCAAGGGATTGCGCTAACAGCTTTTTCTTTTGACTTCTACTTTATATAAAATCGAATATTTAGTTATCTATGGACATCTATTTTATGAAAATGATACAATCATTTTTTTTTCTCCTCATGAAATAAATAATTAATATTTTTTCCGAATATGTTTTACATCTATATGATTACTTTTTATTTTTTTGTTTCATTTTATTCTTGTTTTTATTTAAAATAAATGATTATGTGTCAAATCATTTGTTATCTATTTCTATAGATGTCATTCAATTATATTTTTATCTTAATATTCTTTCGTTTCCATAGATAGATAAAATAGTCGAATGAATCGAATTGTGCTCGAAAAGTCCTTCTGTTAAAAGAAAAGTGACGCATGAAAATAGTAAAGTCCATCTAAAGTCCGATGAGAAATAGAAAAGTTGGGTATGCTAACAGTGTGGCATAAATTTGGTGTTCTTTTGATTGACTAGTAAAGTCCTTCTATTCGCTAGAGGACTTTAGGTAAAGCGGACAATGTCGGGATCTTTGACAGCCCTCGACCCGCACCAACAAGTACATATCTTTGTCGATGCTAATGAAAGATGAGTCAAGGATGTAGATGTGGATGAGGATGTAGACGTGATTGTGGATTTAGATGTGAGTGTGGAGCCTCGCGGTGGGTTTGAATATGGGTGTGGGTGAGTGAATGTGGGTATTGGTGACGCTAAAGCGTGCATAATCTCATATTTCAAACTGACAACTGCACACCAACACCTACATCTGCATACAAAGGTAGAGTTACACTCACAAACCCACACTCACACTTGCACAGCTCGTCTTTTTGATGATTATATATATTGACGTATTTATTAAGAATCATTTAAAATAAAGTTCTGATTCAGCATGATTATTCAACTAAATATTATTTCAATATTATATATGGTGTCACTCAATAATATGGCACGTCTTAGACGTTGCATCATTTTTGAACAAGAACTATAGCTGTTTCGTTCCGCAGTCAAACATTTTTATCAGATGAAATCGAACAAATGACATATATGCATTAATGTTTCAAATATTTTCGAAAAACTACCTGAATAGTGATTTTTTAAAACAGATTTCTTTTCAGTACAACTTTTTGTTATCAGACCAGATCCCGAAAATGGACCAAACGGAGTTTTTGAAATTCGAATCGAACTGAACAGAACCCGAACTGATTTTCGACTTTCTGGTTAGTCGAGCCGAACCTAAGTAAAACTAATTGTTTCCACTGTACAATATATTTTACTTAGGATGTATTGAGCTGATGAGAACTTCAACGAGTTTTTATTCATTGTGCTATACAGTATAACAGTTCTTAGCATAGTTGGATTGCTATTTTGTCTTGTTATCAATAGAATTCATTGTTTATCATGATGATTGGTTAATTGGTTGCAAGCTAATGCATATCGGACTATTTTTTCTTTGTGTGTCATTGCTATTCAATGCTATGAATAGCCGTCAACGAATTATCTAGGAATGAAGTTAGAAAAAATACTTCAAATTAGTGCACAAGTGTTCTTATTCTTTCAGAGCAAAAACATCACATGATAGGCAGTAGGGCCACTAGAAGTTACAGTTCTATTGCACTCGTTCAGTATAATTATAAAGTTTTTCCAGTAGATACGATTTGAACTGAACCAAATTGAACTGAATCCGAACCTAAAAACTCCAGTTCGTGTCGAGCTCTGTATCAGACAACGAAATGGCTTCATCTTATAAGAAAAGTCAGTAAGCTTTGCATGATTATCAATAAACAGAAAAAACTTAAAGTAACATCTGGTTTATATTTTAAACTGTAAAATATTTCATAAATTCGAAAAAGGATACTCCTGGTTATTGATTTAATACTTGATATAAATAAAACCTTCATCATGCTTAATGTATCTGTAATTGTTAGTCAGGTAGTAATTGTGTTCTTCGTTCCGCTTCTTGTTTGGTCATTGCTTGTTGAACGTGCGTTGGTAGACCCGGATTAAGACTCAAAGCGTACGGTAATAATGTTTTGTGTATTTCTCCAAAATCAACCATAATTTTGATGAACATTGTATCGTCTCGTACGTACGGATTCCCTTCCTGTTGAATCATTTCCAACGGAATAAATTTTGGTATACCACTGGCTATATTCATATCCGATCGAGGTCGTTGAAAACTATTTGACTTAATGTCTGGTCTAAATGAATCGATAATATGCCGTTGTGCAGGCGTTTGATCGTACAAACAAAATGTGACTTTATAGTTGAATGGAAACTTAAGAATTGGATCGTTTAAACCTCGCATGAGCACAAAAAACACTGACATGTGTGTACGACGAGCATTTCCATCACCATTTAAATACACACGCGCTCTCATTTTATAGCCATTTGGAGATGAATAAAATGGAGGTGAATAAATTGATGTTTGTCTTTCAGACTGTGCATCAACTAGTAATTAAGAAAAAAAAATTCTTATTACAGCTTTTTTGAGGCTAAAATGTGAAACTCACATGTCTTTTTCAGCTTCATTATGCTAATGCAAAATAGCTTAAATTAACAATGTCTAAGAGAGTATAGTGATTTTTCAAGGATCATCGATTACCAATGGAAAAGATCTGTGTTATTTATTTCTGCATTTCGAAGACATTTTTCTTACTTATGCTCTATTTTTAATTGATACTGTTTTTATTCGCTCATTGTTTATTTTCTTTTTTTTTGTTTCGTTTTTCTTAAATTACTATTATGATTATTCTAACTGTGCATTTAAACGACATACACGTTTGCTGCACACATCTATTATATTTAGAACATGTCTCAACATACTATTATTCATGTCGGTAACATCAAAAACCTGGTATTGAATATTTCTGAAAGCCACAACTTGATTGATTCATACTTTTACTGCTGGTCATATGACACCTGTGATAAATTCAAGCATCACTAGCCACCATCTATGATATCTTAAATATAATTAGTGGTCTTCACAAAAATCAAAAATTGCGCTATTTAGGATACTGAGAAACATATTCCTGCTATTTCAGTTTCGTGAAAAACTTTAGAATATTTTCGAATTGTCTAAACTTTTTTTTGTCAATGCCATTCAGCGAATTTTCTGTTTTGCTAAGGGATTATAGAAAAGAAGTCTGCTGCCTATTGTCCTTGGTTGCTAAAGCCTATTACGAGTATCTGTGTCAGCATTTGCTATGACTGTCAGCGACGTTAACATCATTACGCTCACTGTTTTTCTTCGTCAAATATGTGAGTTCTAAAAAAAAATATGTGAAGAGTGGAAGCAAGTATAAAGAGATTTTGCGGATCAATAGCATTGATGATTCGTTCTGTCAATTCATCAATACATTACTTATATATTGTATTCGTGCATGATTATATATTATGCTGGTTGTAACACTGGATTCTGCATGTATTATTTGTCGATTTCATAGAAACAGAATGATATCTTATTCTTTGATTATGTATTCGATGAAATTTTCTATTTTTATCATTGAGGATAAGAATAACCATTCAACATACTCATTTTCTCTTGAAAGTTTGCTATTTTCCAAACCAATGTTCCATCATATGAAACACACTGCAAATCATTAGTTTTTTCTTGCAATGATACTAAATCTTGATTGAGAACGGCTTGATTATATTTGATTCCTTCCAACAAAGCATTTGATTCTTCATTGGATAATTTAACTTTTGATAAATCTTCTGTCAATGTTGGAAGTGTCGTTTGTATTTGAAGTGATTCATTAGTTAGACGTTGTTCATCACTAGTCAATGTTTCAATGCCACCTACCAAGATATTGAGCATTTCATAAAGCTCTTCTAATTGACCAACAGCAGAATTTAAAGTTCCTGCAGTTGTTGTTCGAGGAAGATCAATATCCATTTGTGTATTGTTGAATTTCAGTAACATTTGACGAGCAACATTGAGTACAGCATGTTGATGCTGTTCAGTCAAATAGTGATTTCCGATTTCAGCACGAATAATCTAAAAAACATGAATTTTCCGATATCAATTTTATCTAAAGAATATTCACACTCGTTCATTACAACCAAAGTCTTTCAATATACAGTCAACAATGAGTTGTTGACATTGAAAGACTTTATGTTGATTGAATTTGTTAACTAAATTGAACTGTTCACCACAATCTTCACATTTGAGATTTGAATGAGATTGATCAAGATGTTTCTTTGAAAGGAAAAGGAAAGAAGATTGAAGAATAAAGTAAATATAAAATAGATTACTTGATAATTATTTAAGACACCAGTCCACTGGCAAAAAGAACAATCAATAGGTACTGATTTCATTTCATTTATGAAGCCTCGATCAAGTCGTACCTACATAAAAACAGAATATTTTCTCTTTAATTATGAAAAGATATCTTACTTTGATTCGTAGTGTTTCTGATTGACATTGTCGACATTGAATGGTGGTTCTTGACAAAAAAAAAATGAAAAATAATACTTCAAATAGATAATGAAACATACTCTGGTTTAGTATTGAAACATATTCGACACAGACGATGACCACATTCAGTCAGTTGTACAGGATCTTTTAGTATCAATGAACACGAAGGACAAATATATTTTGTATCAAGAATGTGTTTATCTCTTCCATCGAAGCTTACCATGTTTTTAATTTAATTTAATATGAAAACAAACGGTGAATATTAATTAGATATAAAATCAGTTTTCTTCTATCTGTGATTTTGTTTTTTCTTTTTGCTTCCGTTTGTCAAAATATAAATAGAAAAAAGTTTTCAGAAATGCTAAATCGAACTCATATATAGCTTACCTTTTTGAACAAATAAAAATAATTTTTGAAATCAATTGATGTAATAAATAATTTATCTAGAATTCACATATTAATATTAAAATACGATAAGGATTTCAAATTTTCAAAACAAAAAAATAGTCAGGAATCTGAAATAGGTCCATTCGCTACTATTTGATCAAGCTTTCAGTTCATTGTCGATGCGTAAATGAAAATTTCGCTTGTAATTGGATCATCATTGATGAATATCAATTGAATGTCAATATGTCCATCAAAACCTTTCTCTAAATTCAGTAGAATCGTATACAAAAAATGGTTGAATTATACAGATTCGTTCAAGGGTGGGGGTGGGTGTGGGTGTGGGGTGTGTGAGTGTGGATGTGGGTATGGGTGTGAGTGTGGGTGGGTGTGCGTGTGGGTGTCGGATATGGATATCAATCTTGTGATTACTCACATCAACACTAGGGGTTGGCAGTTACCGTTACCGTTCCCGGGTAACTGGTAACGGTTCCGTTACCAGTTACCCGGGAACGGGGTAACGGTACTACAATTGGGGCCACCTTTAGATCCTAAAGTCGTACTATTGGGGGATACCCTTAGGTCCTCAAGTCCTACTATTGGGGATACCCTTAGGTCCTCAAGTCCTACTATTGGGGATACCCTTAGGTCCTCAAGTGCTACTATTGGGAGACACCCTTAGGTCCTCAAGTCCTATTAATGGCGAGTACCGTTGGGTCCTCAAGTCCTATTATTAGGGGGTATCCTTTGACCCTCAAGTCCTATTATTGGGAGATACCCTTACGTCCTCAAGTCCAATTCTTGGAGGGTACCCTTGGGTCTTCAAGTCCTATTATTGGGGTGTACCCTTGTGTCCTCAACTCCTCCTATTAGGGGGTACCCTTTGACCCTCAAGTCCTATTATTGGGGGATACCCTTGGGTCCTCGAGGCCAAATGCCTAAGCAGTATATTCGCCGTATGGAACTGAGTAGGAGCCCATACATATACCCATCAATCGATAGAGCATCCACGATAACCCTATGATTGGCCCGAACATGGCTATGTCTTGTCCGAACAATAAGAGAAAAAAGGGCTCCTGAAATCTGATTAGTCTATTTTTGGACCAATCAAATAGCGGGATTCTATTTCTCAGTGATGGAATTGGTGGAGTCCCCTACATATACCCAACAATCGATAGAGCATCCTCGATAACCCTATGCTTGGCCCGAGCATGCCCATCACTTGTCCTCGCAATAGGGGCAAAAAGTTTGAACCCCCTTGGGTACCTTCGAGTAGTCAGACTTGAGAATGCAAGAGTACCCCGGATGGTAGGACTTGAGGACCCAAGAGTAACCCGGATGGTAGGACTTGAGGAGCCAAGGGTATCCCCCAATAATAGGACTTGAGAACCGATAGGTGTCCTGCAACAGTACTACCGTTACCCCGTTCTCAGGTAACTGGTAACTGGTCGTTACCGTTCCCGGGTAACTGGTAACGGAACCGTCACCAGTTCCCAGGTAACTGGTAACGGAACCGTTACCGTTACCCAGGTAGCTGGTAACTTCTTCCGTGTGAACCGTTACCGTTACCGTTACCGGGTAACGATCTGGGAACGGTAACTGCCGACCCCTAGTTCTAGCAGGGTGTCGAGATGTTCATCTTGCCTGAAAATCTACCATTGCTGAGCGGGACTCGAAAACTAACTCTAGCACACTACGATGAGCTGTTAAAAAAAAGTTGCAGTGTCCTTGATAGTATCCAAAAAAACGTCTCGAATTTCACTGTTGTGATTGTACGGAACTAGGACGGTTGTTATTAATTGTTGAGACTCGTTGAGCCTCATAATGTTACATTTGCGGACACTGAAATTTCGTACAAATTTATGCAGTTTCTCCATGTCCTTCACAAGAAAAGCTATCATCACCACGTCGCTAGCATGATGGTATCGTTAAAGCATCTTCTCAATCTCTACTGCACCATGACGATTGTTTAAAAAATAGCCGTCATCGTCGCAATAAAGATTTCTGATACAGTGCGAGCATAACGAATGCTTGAGATTAAAGCAAAGAGCACCATGCTCATCGTCCTCACCTTCACCGCCAAAGAAGAGGAATTTTGAATATAAAACTTTAAATCATTAACTTTTTCATGGAGTATTCATTAGAATATGATCAGATTTTTGATGAACAAATGATAGTGCAAAACAAAAATTTATACTTACAATGATCAATTTTAAATATTTCTAGTTCACTTCTATATACTTAATAGATCAGTGAATATTTTTCTTGGAATAATCCATATCTATGTGACATTATGATAGCAGAAGATTGGCAACAACAATAAAGATAGAAGATTTTTAGTGGTTGGAAAATTCCTAGAATGGAAAAGAAAGCAAAAACTTTCTCTAACGATAGTCTACAAAGCTATCTTTATTATAAGAATTCATGTATTTTTTGAATAATCTACTTGATAAAGAACAACGATGAAATGAAAAATTTAACGTTCGAAATAAGTTTCTCACGGAATAAAATGTCAACACAATTGAATTGTAATAGAACTTCAACTCACACTGTGAAGAAAAATGATTTCTTTTTGTTACTATTAGAAAATTTACATGAATAATAAATCATGTTCTCATGATGATATTAAATTTATTCGATGTTATTCTAGAATAGTTCGAAAATTGTATTGAAACATAAATTATTATAGCTAAATTGTTTTAGTGAACAGAATAGAATAAAGTATTGTGTAATAGGAGAAAACGGATAATTGAGCAATAGAAATATCTGATGAAGAAAAAAAAACAAAAGATAATTTTATTGTGATATTAAATAAAAGAGTTCAGAAAATTGAACATTACAATATTAAAATTAATTTGAAATATTTTTCGTAAATTCATTTAATTACGTATCTACATTGTTCAAAAGAACAAACACATTTATAAATATTGAATTTCTTTTATTATAGTTCTTTGTGAAAATAGTTGGAAGAAATATATAAAACACGTGTGGCATTTAGTTTGAAAGTTGACTTCTATTTGTTGAAATTCAATTTGTGTTGAATTAAGAAACAGATGTGTTTTCATTTTGTAACAGATCTGTATGGAATTTTCTGTTAGGTTATTGATAAAGTATTACTTTTCAAAAGAAATAAGGAATGAATCATTTTTCATTCAAATGCAATGGAGAAAAGTAGTCATTTATTGAAATATTTCTATACTTTATTTGTTTTCTGATAGTTGGAAATATACAAGTCTTAGTAAATGATAAATATAACTGAATGTATTTATAACAAATGATCTATATTTAGTTGGAAAAAAAACAGAAACGAGTCACTGAATCAGTCATCACATGGAATATCTAATAGAAATAATCCTTTTAGCCGTCGAGTAGAGTTGACGGAAGAAAGAAAAGGAAAATATTAGAAGATTCCTTTCCATAACATACCATACTGACCGTCGTAGGAAAAGCTGTGGGGACGTTGTCTCTGAAACTAATAGAACATTTTTTTTGTTATAGTTCTTTCCACAAATGCTGTTGACATAAATAGATAAGTTAACAAACGATTGCTTTTCTGCTTTGTCAGTGACACACAAATAACAATATTGACTCACATAGCTCACAATTACTAATCGCTATGACACATTCTAACTGAATAATATGACATAACAATAATCATCTGCGTATGTTCTTCTCAGCATTAGTATCGTCTTACGAAAGATGCATAGATGATTTTTCGTTAATCCAAATAGTATGTATGATCGGTATTTATTGTAGCAGAATATATTATATAATATCTAACTAGAAAATAAAACATATCTGAATGATTTCTTCTACTATAGTATAAGCAATTCTTCAAGATTCGTCAATTAAATAGGGCGATAAGTTAATTGATCTCATGCTTTTGATAAATATCCAAGAAACTAAAATTGTTTCCTAGTTATTTAGATAAAATCTTTTATAAACATAATAGTAGATTCTCTACTAGAAGCTAGCACTTAGGTGCAACTGCCTTTGTATAAGTTTTTGCCGGTATCTTCGATCTATTAAAGCATTACTTATGTGTCTTTCACAAATTTTATGAGAAAGAAACAAAATTCCGAAAATCGAATGACTTTCCTAGGAAATTCATATTAACAGATTATATGAATCATTCAGTAGTCTAAGAATATCAATATACAGAATTCCAAGAAAGCATTTAACACTACAATACAATGAAATATTGCGATCATAGAAAACAATAGTTCAATAGTTTCTATTTTGAAGTTCAGTTGATTGATATATGTTTCTTAAAGCTTATCTTATATACGATAACACATAAGCATTTATTTTCTGAGTCATGAAGAACTTTATTTTACTTTTTTAATACTGATGATGCAAGAGAAACAATCTAGAATATTATTTTTGTGTTCTTTGTTTTACAGTCATATCAAGAGTGAAATGTTTGACTTTATTATGTTAAAGTGCATGTAGAACGCAAAATTAAGAACTGACTCATTTTAATCTTGCACTCTACATATAACTTTTATTCATATCGATTTCGATATTCATAACAATCGATGATGAGAATACATGAAGATGATACAAAAATAATAATAAATCTATTTTTTTTATTCCATCATCTTCTTTTCTGTGTAGAGAATAAAACTACAATCTTGAATAAGAGTTTATTTCGCGTAATATCAATGTAGGAATCAGTAATTTTAATAAATTTAAGAAAATACAAATACATATGTATTACTCAAATAAAATTATGAAGATAACATTTTGAAGAGTGTTTGATAGCTGAGAAATAAGAATTCCTAGTCAATTGTCCTACAATTACACAATTAGTAATATGACAATAAAAAAGCAGTATAC